AGACGTCAAAGGATGGCCGCCATGCTTACCGTCGCTATGGTTGGTCAGCACGCAATACTAAGTGCATTGTTAAGCTTCCATTCTCTCGTGGAAAACGTCGATCGATTTTTGCTGCCGTGGACCATACTGGTTTTGTTGCGTGGGTGACTACTGAAGGAACTTACAGTACGTGGTCGCATACCAATGCAACGCTGCGCTCGTTGCTGTTGAGGCAAGTTCCTTTCTGGTCGCGTTACCACGTTCCTCAGTTTAATCTACATGCAGACGGACCACGCACGGAGAGATATCAATTAGAGTCACTACTTAAAATCCGTAGCAGAACGTCTTACCTCCAGTGGCCAAGACGTTTTCTAAAATGAACTGTGCGACGGGAAAACCACGCGACAGCATAATTATTTTTAGAAAGCACAATTTACTGGTCTTTTTAGTGCGAGCTTGCGTCAGATAATAACCCCACGATCATCTCTAAAACTCTGATTTGCAGATATAATTGGGTCTGTTTTACAAGTCTAAAATAGAGGGCAAAACATGTGCAAAGCACAATATTATCCAGTTTTCAAAACAGGTTTTGTCCAGGTACCGAATTAAAGTTATATTTCCGAAATTTTTGTTTGGCATCACAGCCACACATTGCCACGCGACAGCTTCCAGGACCAGCGCGCGCGCTCGCCCCCCTCCCCATGGCACGGACGCACAAGACCGCCTCTATCAAGGCGCAGATGGCGGAGAAGGCGCACCATAAGGAAGAGGAGGAAGCACGCCGCCGAGAGGAGGCTCGGATTGCAGACCTCGAAAGCGCGCGAATGCGCTCGGAGAAAGCCGGCGCGCTAGTCCGTGCGTGTGACCATCAGGGTGTTGATGCTGCTGAATCTCCTTCGTCAGGAACAAAGGACCGAGAGAAGCAGCCGGATAATGAAGAGAAGGAAGAGGGTACAAAAGACGACGCTGAAGACGAAGAAGACGCTAAAGCCGAAGAAGATGCTGAAGAAGAAGAAGATGCTGAGGAGAAGGTGCCAGCGACGGAAACCCAAGGAAAGAAACGTTCGATTTTGGAGGTGGATGATGAAGAATTGGTGGGTGTCCCTGCCTTTAAGAAAGAGCACGACTCCTGGGCAAGTCTCGGGGTGCCGAGTGTCCGTTCCAGATGCTGGCCCAGCTGACGAAGAAGGCAGATGGATCATGGGGTGTCATGATGAGGCGGGAGATCTACCAGCACAACCACCCGATCTCGGAGGATATCTACAGGTATTATCCAGGTATTCGCCATGTATCAGTCAACTCGCCTCTTCTACCTGGCGTCGAGGTACTACCTGAGGCGAAGGCCGGCACTACAAGCATCTACGACTACATTCGAAGCCACTCCAATCACCGAGTGACCATGGATGACGTCCGCAACCTGATCGCGCGCTTGAAGCCCAAACGTAAGCCTTCCAGAGCCTGAGAGCAATCTCTCCATTTCTCATTAATTGTTATTGTGTGTGTAGGCACGGCGCTATCGGAAAATGACGCAATTACTGAAATGGTTTTGGATTTCGATCTTCAGTCTCCAAAGAACGTGTCTACTGTCAATGAAAACGTCGCAGAGAAACCGGCGTTATTTCATTTACAAGTGGGCACATGCGTGCACTGATGGACAGCTTCCTGAAGTTATCCAGATCGACTGTACCCATAAGACCAACCAGTAAGTACCCTAGCAGAGATAGCGGATAATGGCATCCAGGTATTTTTCAGGTTTCCTACAGGTATTAATTTGTTTTGTCAACAGATATAACTATCAGTTGTTGAGCATGGTTGCGATGGATCAGTACGGCAGAGGTCAGCCGATACAGTACTCTTTACTGGAGACAAACTCGGATTGGCATATGGGCAAGTGCCTTGACCATTTCAAGCGCGCTAACGAGCATTGGCGGTTAGTGAGGATTGTGATTGTCGACAAAGACATGAGGGAGATCGAAGTTATCCGCCAGAAACTTCCGG